CGGCCTGGGAATGGGGGTGTCTTTTGCCCTTTTCACTGATGCTTGTCGATATCCACAAAAATACAGAAACACAAACATGGTGGTATTGAAAATAACGAAAATGTTCGTCAAGAGGAACATGGTTACATAAAATTTGATAAACTCATGCTACAGAACGTTATTCAGCTCTTCAAAACTAATGAGGGAGAGGTTCAGACCACCATGGAAAACAATCCTGAGCTACGTTTTTACAAAGAGAATCATGAACTGCCCTGCACTGTGTGATCCCACGCGTGTGGAAATGACCCGTGTCCATGCACCTGTACTGACTGATGCAGAGGAAATGTCATCAAAGAAGTAGATTTTTATTTTATTTTCTTTCTATTGCATGGATCTTTTCAATGAGACTGTATTATTTGTCTGATAAAATGTGGTTTCTTTGTTACTTTTTAAAGAGTGGGGGAAAAGTTGAAGAATACCTATAACTTACCTTTCTATGACTCTCGAACTTAAAAATTACATATTATTCAGACCATTTATGTTACGATTAAATCCTCGGTCATGTTACAGCTAAATCCTCATTCATCGTCCTAACTTGCAGTCATGGAGCAGCCAACAGGAGTGTTAGGCAAGTCCTATCTGATGCCACCGTGACCCTGCAGAGGGGGTGGGTATTGTAGCCATTTGATAGAGGAGGAATGTGGGCTCGGGGACGTGACACAACTACCCAAAGCCTGATGACAGCACAGCAGGCATTGAAGCTGTCATCACAGACACCAAGGATGCCTTCATACCACGTCCAGGCAGGAGCTGAAATCCACAGGTGCATTCAGTGGCTGGGCTTGCCCTTGGGTATTTTAAGGTCACTTGGCCAAGGGATGTCAATTGGGACACCACCATCTTTATATACGTACACATACATGCACACATGCGTGTATACAGATTTATTGCTAGAATCCCATATTCTCTCGGCCATCATGTTGAGTGAAATAGGCCACAGGCAATAACGTGAAGAATGATAAGGCATGCTCACATTGTCATTTCCCACTCAGCACGTGATGCCCTGAGGTTTTCAACCTGTGGGCAGGCGATGCGGGATGGGATGACCCCTTGGATGAACTGGACCAAGTATTCTTCCAGCCCTCCCTTCCCCACCGTTCTGTGCAGGAGCATATGTCTGGTGTTATTAAAACAGTATGTCTGATGCAGGTCCACCGGCAGTCACCCTGTTCTCTGGGCAGCTGTGTGCTTCTCCCTGCCTGCTTTGCCTTCAGTAATCAGACCGAGTACTGCACCCCACCCAGCACTGTCCTTTCTCAGGTGCTAGGGCACCTACCTGCACTGCCTCCTTCCTCCCTGTCTGCGGCTCTTTCTGCCTTTCCTGGCCCACTCCCCCCGGGAAAAGCTACTTTCCTGCTTACACACCCATGCCGGATAGTGGCTTTCAGGAGTCCCTACTGTGTAATATATAATACTACGTATGCGCTTGAAACCTTCCACAGACAAACCCAGGAAATTCTGGTGCTGATGAGTAACCATGAAATCCAGAGGAAGCAAATACCTGGGGCAGGTGAGCCTTTTGGCCCCCAGTACCATCCACTCTGTCTTCTAACACCTGCCATTGATGATTCGGGTGTTGTACAGGTCAAGTGACCATGCACAGAGCAAAATGTCATCAAATTCCTCCCAGGCCATGGCTCTCTGTGTATCGTGAACTCCAACACAGAAATTGTTAGGAATCTTTCTTGGACATCCATTTTCACAGGATTCTAGGGCCTAGTCTATTCATAGCAGTCCTGCATCAGCAAGGAATACATCCCAACTGGATGCACACATTCCTCCCTGAGTTTGAAATTTACGCTGGTGCCTGACAGATGCCTGTCAGAGGACTTCCTTCAGTTCTAGTCAGTTAGGGGTACCAATGCGTCACCCAAGACAGAGAGATAGAGAAAGTGCTATTGCTCCAACTTATTTTAGGAAGAGCAGAGGACATTTATACAGAAGAGCTGTTCTCTGTAGCAGGGAGCCGTGTGAGAGCACAGGGAACCACGAGTGAGAAGGTGACGCTTGCAGGTGTGTACATGTTTGGGGCCCAGTGGACTTGCCGCAGCCCTCTTAGCAGGAGGAGCTGCGTGCCAGCAGAGGGCGCCCTCCCCTGCCTACACCTGTTGAGAGCTGAGCCTTTCTCTGAACAGGCTGGACAGACAATGCAAGGTCTTCTGTACTGAGGTGTACTTGGGCCAGCCCAGGATTACTCAGCCTACAGAGGCCCACACTGACCCCTGCTGCTGTGAGCTCTCCTCCTTAGCAATAAAAGATAAGTCCCCAGCAGGGCTTTCTGTATGTGAAGATCTCTGCAGGCGCCTGTTCTGGTCTGGCCATCGGACAGTCCTTATGAAAGAATGATATGTTCCCACAGTTCTGGAACTGGAAACACCTTGTGTCTCCCACCCTTAGATGGAACAAAAGATTTCCCTTCTTGGCTCTTTCATGGTGGATTCACACACACATGGTTTCTGTCTAAATGTGCTGAAAACAATTAGCTCATCCCTTCAGGGCCCTGGCTGTCAGGACGTGCCCTTACAAGCCCAGAATCCAGCTGCCTTTCTTCTCCAGTTACAACCCGACTTAGAGGACAATCTATTCTATTTCAAACTGCCTTTGGGCACAAAACAATGGGGATCCTCAATTCAGTGTTTGCTGAGCTTTGCTCAGAGGGACTCATTTTTATTAAGCCCTACTGGGAATATAGGAGCAGAAGCTAAGAAGAGAAGAAACGCTGTTACCTATAATTTGGGTTTGGTCCTGAACATTCGCTTTCCTATTTTTGTGCCCTCTTAATCCAGGCCAGACCTTAGGTATTTCTTTCTTCATTCATGCAGTTAAAAAAACATTTTTCTCTATATTCACCTTTTTTTGTAGGTTTCCGATTCCTAGACTCTCTTTTTCGTAACAGAGTCAACTTTCTCCCCACCCTATCCAATTATTCTCTGACTTATTCCTGCAAGAGCACATCAACTCTCACCAAATGGTGGCCATTTCCTGTCTGGAATACTCTAGACACACACATACCGCCCCCCCCACACCACATACGTAGCAGACATGCACACCACACCACACACACACCACACACACAGAGCACACATGTACACACATACCGCATACATACACCACACATGACATACATACACACAAACCACATAATACCTGTACCACACATGTAAACACATACACACACCCCATGGTAAACTAAAATAAAATCCTAAGCTCCTCACTGACTGAACAGATTCCCCTCTTGGCCAAGAGGACCCTAGAGTAACCTTAAACCTGAACTCTCAGCCCTGACAGGACAGGAGGCCAGACACGCCTCATTGTACCCCCTCCCATGTGAACTCTTTGCTGGGAGGAGAGTTCACAGCAGCAGGGGTTAGAAGCCATACGCTTATTTCTTTAAGGGCTAAATAGATACAATCTCGAGGTTTCCGCACTACAACTAACCAGCATTCTTTCCTGATAAGAGCCCACCTATCATGGAGTGGTTTCCACCAGTCTGCTGAAGATGCCCAGAGAGGGTGTCTCTGTCCTTGCTTCACCTTTTAACACCAGAGAGCAGCCATCCTCTGAACATGGACCCCACAAAGGGGCATAGCTCATTAAATACATATATTTGTCCATCTGCTCAGCATAAAGTCCTGTCCCCACTGTTTGTTCCTCAATGCACATGTTCCTGGCTTCTGGCCAGGGCTCTGCCCCCCATAGGCTGAAATCTTTTATGAGAAATAAAGCTCTCCTGTCCAGAGTTATGGAGCTTGTTGTTCAGTTAACAGCGCACACGCCCTCCACACACACACACACACACACACACACATGCACACTCATGCCTCTAGGCTTCTCCAGCAGTCCATTGGCCTCACACAGATTCCAGCATAGTCATCATAGTACTGTTTAGGGTGGGGGTGGGGATCTCCACTCAGTCCATCCAAGAGCCCACAGAAAAACAGACAGGTCATTTTGTCAGATCTGAAAGCAGAAGCCGCCGCCTTAAAAATATAGGTGTAAGTATGAGGAAAACAGAGTGACTGATTTTAAGCCAAATATGGGTGTGGAAATCCAAGGCCAAGGGTCACTCCTGGCATAGCCTCCCATAACGCCTTTAGCCGGCAGCCCTGTGTTTACCGAACACGTCAGGGCATCTGTCATTGGCTGTGAAAAAGACTAAACAAACCACATAATTCTGGATGATGATGGTGCATTCAACATAAATGATGGTTGGTGTTTTAAGTCACCAGATCCTGGAGTTTGTTGTGCAGCAGTACTGAGGCCTGGGCTTTCCCGAGAGGTCCTATCTTCCCGTTTCAACAGTGCATTTTCTCTCAGTCCAATCCCACCCCCTCCTTTGGCCATGAGGCACTGCATGATCACAGAGCCTAAAACAAGATGAGCTGGTTTATACATACACTCGGGAGGCTCAAAAGCATGGCCACGGAAACACCTGCTACTGTAAGAAGCATAAATAATCACAGCATCATATAACTACCAATTTAATTCATTTTTTTTTCAGGGAGAAGGAATTTTTATTTCTCATCAATCATTTGAATACAACCCCCATCATTTTGCAGGTTTAGTTTAGTAACAAACTTGACTAGTAACACTTTCAGGAGTTCACAATTTCAAAGCTAAGGCTCTGATTCAGGTAAAACGGTGATCAATGTAATCTAAGGGAAGCTTTTAAAAAGGCTAAAAGCAATCTGATCTCTTAAAGGAAAATATGAACAACCCATGCATTGGACTTAGTCACGTTAAGTACACTAAGTACAGCAGCCAAAGAGATAGTAAGATCTTAACCACAGCTCAGAAGGAAGCAGCGCTATGTCCCCTACAGCAGGTGTGTCGTCATCAGCACACAGTGTGAGTGAGGCAATGTGCTGAGCACTGGTGTAGAGGAAGTGCAGCTGGACATGCTGGAGGGAGGCAGTAGGGCTGTGCAGGCGCTGAGCAGGGAGCAGTGCCCTGGGGGCACCTCAGTCACCTTCTGCACCACAGAGCAGCTGGAGGGCTTTCGTATAGTCCTCAGGTGTATCACTCTCAATCATGGAATAAAGAGAGGTGGCAAAACTCTTCCAAAACTCCTTTCTAATGTTAAACAGATCAGTCTCACTCCTGGACATCACGACTCTGATGAGTGTGTGATCATCTGTCCCAGCTCCCTCCAGAGCATAGTAGAAGGTCTCAGCAAGGTAGGCAGGAATACTTCGAATAGATTTCACAACAGCAAGAAGTAGTTGCTCCAAATTGCCAGAAGTCTCCCGGTCAATAGTTTTCTCAATGTGAAATCCTGATCTAGTCATGTATTTGTCAAACACCCTTCTCAGATGAGACACACTACGTGTTCCCAGGATGGTGATAAGCTTTTCTTCATCTGTCCCCCATTTAGGTTCTCCAGCCCGAAACAGAGCCTGAGCATCTTGTTCAACTTGAGTTTCATCAACTCTGGCATCAGGGTCTCTGTTAGCCTGAAGGAGAACCACCAACATCCTCTGGTAGAAACCTGAAGAGTCGCCAGCCACGTCATCCTCCAGGCTCGGGCCATATTCTTCTTCACAGACTGGTTTTATGCCTCTTAGCTCTTCAGGTGTCCTTGAAGCAGTAATTTCTGCCAGGACTTTGTCATTGGTCCCAGCTCCCTTAAGGGCGTGCTTCAGTTCATAGGCGCGTAAAGCTGAGAGGGGTTTCATCAGAGCCACAATTAATTTTTCAGATTGTCCGGTTAATTCTGATTTCAGGTCATCCAAAAGCTCCCTGCCAAAGAGTTTTAAAAGCCACCGAGATGGTCTGGCGCTGAGCGTGACTCCGAACTGTCAACAGTCGGGATGCCCAGGCCTTTCATGGCCTTCTGAAGAGTTTCTGCATCGGTCCGCTCATCAAATCCAGGGAAGCCACTCACGGTGCCTTTGGGAACCTGTTCCGTGGAGACTTGTGAGGTCAGGGGAAGGCAATACAGGACTAGACGACGGGGTGACTCAAGTGCCCTGAACCTCCCGCAGGGTGGCAAAGCACAGGGAAAGGCAGGGATGCGGGCGGAGAAGGACCTTAATTCACATTTTAAAATAATCTTCCTAAGGAGATTTTTAAAATAACGTGTAACATAACGTTACTAACATATTATTATATTATGATAATGTCCTACATGTTGATGGTTAAAATAGACAATAATGACATTTAACATGGAAGCTTCCCCTGAAGGTCCTGGTTGAAAACAATATTAGTCCACCAACTGTGACAGGAAATAAATGTAGAGTATGGGGATTGCGTTAAAGCCAAATGAAACACGGTATCTCATATCTGTTCATCTCTAATGCCTATGTCAGTCTCAGGAGTGAGCACCTATTTCGTTGAACAAGGCATTTTATCAGCTCTCAGGAGTGAGCACCTATTTAGCTGAACAGGGTGTTTTGTCAGCTCTCAGGAGTGCGTTGCTGTCTGGTTGAACGAGGCATTTTATCCAGTTAGTAGTCCTTACACGCAAAAGTAAGAAGACAACAGACAGGGAGCACATAGCAGCCACCGTGATTAAGGTGGTGGAATTCCACAGACGCTTCTCCCTGGCAGGTGTGTGGACCTGCTGTAAGTGACATTGAATAATGGCAGCATGACAGTGAAAGAAAAATACATAAAATTAAGGGAGAGGTCCATTGTCCTTACTTAGATTCTCAGTTCTACCTGCAGAAACCCAGCACTGAAGTTGCTTGGGACTATCTCCAGCAACTTCCCAGAACTCATGGAAGATCAGATTCCAGGGTGGCTGGCAGGGATGACTTGTCAAGCTGTGCAGTTAAAGACACACAACCCCCCAGTGGGTAACGGTCCACACTTTCCATGGCGACCTGGCCCTCTGTGTGTTCCCGTAACATGGAAGCTGGCAGGGGGCTGCTTCACCATCATCACCATGTATCTGAGCTGCTGCTCTCCAGGTGATTCCAGATATTTCCGCATTCTCAGAACCCCGGCATAGCCTTGCTGCTGAAGAAAGAATTTTTCTCCAGAGACTTTATTTTCCAAAGAAGGCCCCAACAATATGTTCCCAGTCCACAGCACTTGTGCTCAGTGACGCCCGGACCCTCTGATCACTCACCCCAGTGGAAGGTAGCAGAATGAATGCTCTTCCACACACGGGTGTGGTTCTTAGAGTGGGTCTGGCAGCCTTCATCTCCTGCTTCTTGGATGCCAAGCACCATGAAAGAAATAAGACTGTCCTGAGACTGCCATCCTGTGGGCAGTTTGGGGCTCCACGGAGAGGCCCTGAGGAATAGTAAGGAGCAGCCTCCAGATGTGGGGGCAAAGGAGCTGGCTGGGAAGGGGATCTGCGGGCCCTCCAGGTGGAGCAGAGAGGAACCATCCCAGATAAGCCCTTGCTAAGTTCCAGGTCCACTAACTCATGAGTTTGAAGCCACTTAAGTGTTGAGGTTGCTTGTTACCCACCGAGAGATAACTGAAACAGGTTCCAGTGTGTGGTCCAGACTTTGCCCACTCCCAGCCTTCTGTGAAGACCACTGCCTGATAACCTGGGGGCTCCATGTCTTCTAAGAGCCGCGGACAGACAGCAGGCCTGTGATGCTTATTAAAGAAACACTCAGTGTCTGAGCCATGGGCTGGGCACAGGTGCTGCCTTGAGGATCAGGACTCCTGTGACACATATCTCCTTATTTTATAATTAGGATGACCCTGCTTTATAAACCAAAGACCCAGGCATATGGCTTGACAATTATAAATTCAGTTAGGACAAAAGGAAGCTGAGTATTTTTTTTTTTTTTTGTAGTTTTTGGCCGCGGCTGGGTTTGAACCTGCCACCTCCAGCATATGGGGCCGGCACCCTACTCCTTTGAGCCACAGGCACCACCCAGAAGCTGACTATTTTAAATCAGAAAATTAAATCCCAGAAAATACAGAAATGGTGGTGATTGTGCTTAATACCTGTCTTGTTTTACGAATCAACTTTAGACAACTTATATACCCTCCCTAACCCTCATTTTTCTAATCTTTCCAGTAACAATAAAAGCACCATCTCCTTCACAGATTGGTGATATTAAATGAAATAATTCACATAGACTCATTGGTAATTATTATTTTTGCAATTGCCATCTCCTGATATCCTTCTCATGGTGCCTTAAATCTATGAAGTGTCCCACAAATACGGTTTTATGGTAGACAGAAATGTTCATTGGACTTGTGGCCTATATAGCTTTTCTATTGCTCTGTAGTAAATTACCATAAACTTAATGGCACCAAATAATGCATCCTTTATTATCTCACAGTTCTGTAGGTCAGAAGTCCAGGTGGGCTCAGCTGGGATTTCTACTTAGGGTCTCATAAGGCTGAGCGGGGCTCAGAGGAAGAGTCTGCTTCCAAGCTTGCTAGACTTGAGGGCAGAATTCAGTTCCTTTCGTATGTCCTTATTTCCTGGCTGCCAGTTAGGGCCCCTCTCAGCTCCTATAAGCCCTTGACATTCCTTGCTTCATGTCTCTCTCCATCTTCAAACCCAGTAATGGTACATTGAATACTTTTCATACTTGGAATCCCTCTGACTTCCTCTTCCGCTACGTACCAGTCAGATAAAACTTTGCTTTTAAATGGGTCATTTGACTACGTTAGGCACACCCAGATCATGTCTCTATCTTAACACCAACTGCTCAGCAATCCTAATCACACAATCTTAACTCCTTTTCCGTAATATCACTTAAGCTAACTGTGGAAGCAGCACTGAGGCAGAGGTCGTGAGGGCCACCGTACAAGTCTATGCACCCCAGCACAAACACTGGACCCCTGATTCATGTGCCTCTCATCTGAAAAATACATTTAGCACCCCCCCCCAAAGATTTCCAATGACCTCATCCCATTATCACACCAGTCGAAGTCCAAATCTCACCAAAATCTAAAACCATCACCTACTCATCTAAATCAGAAACAGATGAAGCTCCTCAGCTGCTGCCTTACACACAGCCCCAGGCCCACTTTCTCTCCTCCTGTGGATGCGAAACTACAGAGACAAGGGAGGTCTTTTCTCAATATCCACAATGTGCCCAGGAGAGAGGATAGCAGCTACAGACGTCCAGTCCCAAAGCAGGGAAACCGGAGACAATAAACAACCAAACGCCCAGATGAATAATAAAACACAAATATAGCCCAGCAAGGGGGAAGGAGAGGAGGAAGAGGGCAGGGGGGAGGGCGACAGGCAGGATCTCACCGAATGTGCACCACGTAGGGTATCCAGCACGCCACCCGGGTGAAGGGCTCAACTACAACTTGAACTTTGCTTGAAAAATGAAAACAATGTTCCCTAAAACTTTGTGCCCTTACATTAATTTGAAATAAAAAATATGAGAGGAAAAAAAATAATCATCTGTCCAAATCCTTTGGCAAAATGCAGCAGCCCTCCCTTACATTAATTTGAAATTTAAAAAAAGGGAGGGGGGAAAAAGGAGTCGTCTGTCCATATTCTCCATATCCTTTGGCACAATGCAGCAGCTCTCAGGCCTGGTAATCTGCGTCGCTCAGCACTGTGGGCTCTCCTGCCCTCTGTAACTCCCGGCTCAGCTCTCTGAGCCACGTTCCCTGTTCACAAAAGGTGAAATGTGTTCACGGCTGAAGGATTTTATGCCATTTTGTACCATCTATATTGCGTTTAGCCCAAGAAGGCAGTATTTCTGCGAATGTAATTTCTTCAAGAAGCTTGTGGGCCTTGAGCGTTTTTCCACTGGGTTTCACTCCATTAGACAAAAAGCTGCACACACAAAATCTTTCTCCAATTAGCCCTTCTTTGTCTTTGGCTTCTGCTGAGGGTGCTGAAGGACAGCAGCGTCAAGCTTCTCAGAGGCCCTCCGAGTTGAGTGAGATCTGTGAGAAGACCCCGGATCTCTGGGTAGGGTCACTGTGTGTGCGGCTGGAAGCTCCAGCCGGCCGAGCTCCCCGGGCCTCAGCCCAGAGCGCGCAGTCACACACGGCATCCCGCGCTTTTAGCTTCCAACTCTGACTTTCAGAATTTCTTGCCATCTGGAGAGGCTGAGAACTTTCAAAATCATCAGGTCCCTGCCCCTTCAACAAATGTTCCTTCAATTTATCTCTTTTCTAGCTCATTGCACTAGAAGCAGTAAGAAGAAACCGAGCATCCTCCACACTCAGCCTGGAAATTTCCTTACCTCTGACTCCAGGCTTATGGCTTACGAGTTCTGCTTTCTACTTAACTGCAGAACACAATCTGGACGCTTTCTGTACTAGTAACATCTAATAATAACACGAGCCTCCTTTCATCAAGTTTCTAATGATTGTTCCTCACTCCCTTCTTTGCCCTTGCCGGTGGTATCCATGAAGTTCAGATTTCTACTAGCAATCTGTTTAGTGACCAGGCTTTCTCCAAGGTGATAAGGCTCTTTCTAATGCTGTTCACTTTCTTCTGAGACTTCCTGGCAGAGTCTTCAGCATCTGTGCCTTAATTAGTCCTTTCTAACTCAAGTTCAAGTGCTCAACCTGGACTGTCTTCTTAGTGAGCCTGTATCCATAGATTCAGACTGACCCAATGTTATATTCCTTCCACCTTCATGCCACACCCTTAAGTTCCATCTCACATGTATTCCTGGAGTTTCTGTCAGAATAAACTAGAAATATCACACAGTACTTTGGGCATCCAGCCAGGCTCTTGGTGGGTGACAGCTTGTACTCGGCCTTTTAGGGCCTGCCAGGATTTGAGTCCAGTTGCAGTTCTCTGGGTTCGGAGGTGCAGCAGCAGAGCCCACCGAGCACGCTCATCTCAAGTGGGGCTGACGGGCTGCTTCTACTGTGGTATCAGGGGTCAGTAAAACCAACCCCACTTCGATGATTAGCTAGGAGGACTCCAGGATGCAGCATGTGGTTATACTCACTGCTATGATTTACTGCCTCGAAAGGACAGAGAGAAACATCAGGAAAGGAAACAGACACGTGTGAGAAAGTCTGGAGAAAACTAGGGACAAGCTTCCCAAGTCCTTTCCCAGTGGGGTCACACAGGACGTACCTAATTTCTCCAGCATCAGGTGGCGACAATGTGTGTGAGCGTCATCTACAGTGAGGCAGAGGCTGACTGGGTTTCCCTGTGGGCTGATCAGATAACCACCCTCTTCTGCCTATCACTTGCCAAAATTACAGAGTCCCAGAAGGAAAATGGCTCTCAGCATAAACAATTGGTTTGCACAAAGAGGGTAAGCAGTGTGAGCCACCTCTATCACGTAGAGAATCTGGAGAACCTTCCCCAAACCCAAGTTCCCTGAAGTCAGTCAAGGCTCCCCCTTTCTAAGGAAAGCAGTCCCAGGACTTGCTATGTTAACTCTTCCCTATACAACCACCAATGAGGACGTGGTGGGACTGAGGGGTTCGCAGTCCCCAGCTTCATTGCATCTGTTCATATGTCCCTATTCCAATGCTCAGAATCCTACTTTTTCCCAATGGGTGCTCAGAATTAACAACAGAGAATACGCCAGGTTGGGAATTTAACTAACCTTGTGATTCAGCCGTTACAGAATGAGACTCTGGGTCTGTTTTATTGTTGCAGCAATTGACGGGTGCTTCTGGCATTTGATAGAAAGAAACTTGGGAGGCCAGACATCCCACAAAATGACAAATTGCCCTCCATTTCTCATGATTTTTGAATGTCCACTTGGATTTTTGCATAGAAAGAGCAAGCTGCTTATAATTATCTGAGCCAATAATGTTACCCTTTACATGTAAATACAAGGGATATGTTTACATGAGTTTAAAATACATAGAAATTTCCCAGAATAAAGCTATTGTATAAATTAGGAGAAGACTGTTCTCTGTTTTGCTCCGGACTTTACCAAGAATAGTTCACCATTTTAGAAAATCGCATTCCTGATGACAAAACTGTGGCACTTGAGTCACCAAAATAATGCCTGTATCCTCAGGCTGCGTTTGTGGCTGGGGCTTTCAAAATCGGTGTGTGTGCATGT